TTCTCATTGTGAATAGTCTCTGATGCCCCCACATCCCTCACTGGCCCAACTCTTCCTGTCTCTCTCTCTCATTACACCTTCACTGAAGTGGTTTCATCTGATCCACTTGAGTTGAACTCTATTTCCTGACTAACGGAGTAGAGCCACCAAGCATCCTACCTTTCTCTGATCTATTCAGTCTTTCTTCAATCATATTACTTTCTATTTCTGTTGTTGTTGTTGTTGATTGTCTTCAGGTTGAGGACAACTCATAGCAACCCTATGTTCACAAAAGGCCTGAAGCCCCTCTACAACCATTGACATTTATCAAAGTTCATAGAGTTTCTGGAGGCATGTGGATTAGGAAGTGGATGCCACTTATATATATGCAAATTCAGACTTTCTCTTTACAAACCATTCTTCCCAACTAGATTGAAGTCAGTTTCCTGGCATCTAATTATTATTAATAATGGCTATCCATCTTTTTCCCCAATACCACTATCAAAGACCCCATTCTTCAATCTTCCATATTTATCATTATCTAACTTTCACACTAGATAAATATGTGTTGGGTTCAATAATAATAGTAGTAGTAGTAGATAAGAATCTGTGCTTCTTTCTATCTTCTCTGGACAAACTTAACCGTATAATATTGGTAATAACTAGCATTTAGTGAGCCCCTATGAATTTGCAGACCCTTGGTTGTATAGTGGATTGAGCAATGAACTAAAGCGTCAGTGGTTCAAACCCCCCAACTGTCCCATGAATGAGGAACTCCATAGAGCAGACTTCCTCGGAAACCCTAAGGAGTGTTTCTATTCTGCCTTATATGATCAGTATAAGTGGGAGTCAACTCAACGACAGTAGGTACTATGTGTTAGGACTGTCACTTCCTTCAATCCTGGAAACAATCCCATGAGCTAAGTACTGTTATTATCTCCATGCCAGTCATAAACTGAATCCCTGAAGCTTAGACACCAAGGTCTTCTGTTGCAGGACCAGTCTGTTGTGTGCAAAGTCTGCACTATTTTCCCCCCTCACGTGTCTGGACTGCAGTGACGGCCAGGTATGGGCCCCACACTCCAACGCCATCCCTTTTCAGGGCTAGTTGTTTCTACAGGTAGTTGTTACACACTCCTGAGCGGATTCCGTGGTCGCTGTCCTGAAAGCCTGCATACGTAACCACCACCAAGCACAGCTTCAGTGCCTGGCCCTGGGATTCCCTCTACAGCCACGGCTACACTTCAGCAACTGTGCTGTTACTGCTTCACGTAGTTGACAGTCTCCATGTCCTTCACAAAGTCTTCTCTCCTTTGAGCTAAACACCCCCAAGTCCCACATCAGTCCTCACATGGCATGGTTGAAAGAATTATCACCGTTTCCGAGGGGAGAGCTCCCCCAGAGCTCTTCTGTAAAACCCTCCCACCCTCCTACTCCCAGCTGTCAATTAGCCTTTCCAGTGTCTAGGCCCTTTCTAGGGAGCTCTGGTGGCAAGAAGCTGCACTGCAATCCCGAAGGCACGAGGTCCAAGGCCACCAGCTGCTCCCTGGGAGAAGGAAGGGCAATCTCCTCCTGTGCGATTAACTGCTTCTGAAAATCCTTTAGAGGGTCAGCTGGGGGTTGGTTTCCTACTCTACGGTACACAACAACAACAACACCACAACACACTCTTTATATGTACACAGTGCTGACAACATAAATTAGGTAAAGAGTGGTAGTCCTGGGTCATCCTAAATTGACAAGGAGGAACCTTGATTTAAAATAGTGAATGATTTAGAAGAAGAATGTGTGCAGGCTTCTGAGTGGGTGGTGGGTGGGTGGATGTGTGAGCTCAAGGAAGAGAAACAGAACACATTTTCCGGCGTCTGTCTTTAAGCAAAGCATTTCTTGATCAAGTTTCGTGAGCCTGAAAACCCGGCAATGTGTTCATGCCTGAAAAGCAGAAGCATTTTCTAGACAAGTTAAAAAACAAGCAGATTTCTAAACCCATGAAGTAATCTCTGTTTTCTCTCATGCCCAAATGGGGGCTGGTGTGAAAAAGAGCTTTATCTTCTCTTCTAGTTTTTATTCAGAAAATAGTCTTCTAGAGATGAAGTTACTTATGTCACAGAAAGTCTTCCTACTCAAGTTATTGAAACAGAAAAAGGGTTCTTAATGTTTTGCTTTTTATCTTAGGCCCCTTTTGTCAGTCTGGCCAAGCCAATAAACTGCTGAAAATTATATATTCCAAATGAATAATACAATTACATAGAATTTAAAAATAAATCAATTACATTGAAATAGAGCTAGCAAAATATTTTAAAATTATGATATGCCAAGAATATGTCTCTTTGATCATGAGCTAAATGTTTCCATGTCTAATATTATTATAACTTGCAAGTAGCAGTAGCATAAATGAGTTTTTCATTTTTATTTTATACTGAGTAACATAAATATTTAAAGATTTCTGTAACATAGGAGATACCGATATCTAATTGTTAATAACAACAAAATCATAGGCACTGTTAATCGTTTACATTTATCCCTGAAAGAGGTGAGAGATTATAATGATAGCAATTTCGCCAGAAAACCTCACGTGTAAAAACTCAAACTCATTGCCATCAAGTTCGGACCATTCATAACTGACCCTCCTGCGTGTTTTGGAAGTTGAAAGAGGGAGATGACCCCTTCGTGAATTCCCCTGTTGGTGCTCCTAGCAATCCTATGAACAACAGATCTGAATCCTGTTCTGTCCCGTGCCGCCCTCAGGATTTCTGACACACTTGCACCCATTGTGAGGTCAATCTGTCTGGTTGAGTGTCTTCATCTGTTTCCCTGAGCCTCCACCTTCCCAAGTATGATGTCTATCTCCAAGAAATAGCCTCTGCTAGCAACATGAGCAAAGTACCTGAGACAAAGCTCTGTTATCTTTGCCTCCAAGAAGCTTTCTGATTGCACTTTCTCCAAGACGCCAGCTTGTTCTTTTGGCCGTCCATGGGATATTCACTACTCTTCTCTAACACCACTGCTCAAAGGCGTCGAGTCTTCTTCGGTCATCTTTATTCACGGTCCAGCTCTCAGATGTATAGTGAGTGACTGAAAATACGATAGCCTGAATCTGGGGCCCTCTCATCTTCAAATTGACATCCTTGCTCCTCAGTCATTTGGAGACACGCCACATCTAACAATGGACTTGTCCAATGGAATGCATTGGATTCCTGAATTCCAGGGTCCTATAGATCTCCTGATGTCCTTGGACCCCAGAATCAAAATCCTTGAATTAAGGACATTAATCTCAGTTGGGATTTGCTGTGAAAGAGAGAGCTCATTGAGCAGAAGAGCAAATACTGCTTTGTTCAGTTTTGAGATTTCAGTGTTGTACTTTGCATGCCTTGTGGATTCTAGGGTTTTCACATCTGATCTTTTTCTCACTACAGAATCAGCAGAGACAGTGAGAGCGAAATTTTTGGTACAAACATTTGCATGGCTCATATTTTTAATGTTATCATTTATAAACTAAAGGTAGAGAAAAGAAAAACACGGTCCTCTCTTCTCTCACCACCCTTTACTCTTAAATGTAGAAAAATGCCTCTCCCTCAGTAATCCAAGAGTGGCCTTTCTTTTTCTTTTCAATGGATGAGCTTCTCGTTGCAAGGCAACGTCGCCTAAATTTCAGTAAATTCACAGGAAGAAAGTACGACAGTCCTTAATCAGAGCTTTTTCACTGGTGTCTTGACTTTCCAAGTCCACACCGCCCTGGAAGTCACATTGGTTCCTGTCAGGTGGATGTGCCGCGGAGGCTGCTGGATTCCGTCCCTAAGCTGTACACTCGGTCGGCTCCTGCCACGGTTCAACTGGCTCAGCCAAACTTTCAGAGGGACCCCCTAGCTCATTAAAAAAATACCTGAATATGGGAAAGTCCTTTCTAGAACTTCAACTCAGGAGCACTGATGGTGATTACAAGGAGCTCTGGTGGCCTCCTGGTAAGGAGTTGTGCGGTCAACCGAAAGGCACTTGGTTTGAATCCACAAGCTGCTTCTGGGAGAAAGAGGGACAATCTCCTCCTCTGTGATTTGCTGCCTCCAAAAAAGAACTGTAGGATTAGTTAGTAATTGGTTCCAACTCAATGACACAACATAACACAACAATGGGGACTGGGAAGGCAAAGTCTTAGTACAAAAATATCTTAAGTCTTCTATTTTAAATACTACCAGAGCCAACTCAGTATCTTTACGACAGTCAAAACTAACCCCTCATGTTTCCAAACAGCCTGAGGTGGAAGTCGAGAAGAGGGCGTTAATGAGTTCCCCTCAAAATTCAGATGGCCAACTCAATGATGTGTCTACATGCCAGTCAGTTACCAGGTGATACAAGCACTTAATGAGCTTGCTACTAACGAAAACTTGAAGGTTTAACAGCCTTCCAGAGGACAAAGCCCTGGCAATCTACATCCCCAAAACTAGCCATTGAAGAAACACAAGTCCATCCTCACCCATGAGGAGGTGCCATGAATCAGGACTGACTCAGGTGAAACTGGTTTAGATCCTTGGTTTATTGTCCAAATGGATTTGAACTTGTTTTATGACTCATGACAGGGCAGGGTTCAGGGCAGCTGTACATAGCAGGTGACTCAATGACACATAACAACAATAACATACTATGGCAGGCTTGGAAGCAGGAGTGGCGTCCACTTCCTAAACAACCTGCCTCCGGAAACTCTATGAACTTTGACAAAGGTCGATAGTTGTAGAGGGGCTTCAGGCCTTTTGTTCACAGGGTCACTATGAGTTGTGCTCGACTCAAAGGCAATCATCAAAAACAATATGACTCCATATTCATCTGAGCATAATCATTACCTCCATTTCATGCTTGAGAGTCACACACCTACAGAGCAAAGTCCAAAACTCGGTGGTTAAGCACCTGTGTCAGCACGGTGGTCTCTCCTCCCACCAGCCACGTCAGCAGGATGATTGGAGGAACCACATTTCAAGGCCGATGTTTCCCAGCCATTCAGAGCCTGACAGATACTCTCGTCTCCCCAGGTGCTGCAAGGAGCGGCCACGTGTTTCTACGCTTTCATTGGCTTTGACATCATTGCCACCACGGGAGAGGAAGCCAAGAATCCCAACACATCCATCCCCTATGCAATCACCGCCTCCCTGGTCATCTGTTTGACGGCATATGTGTCTGTAAGTATCTGCTGCTTGAACTGCACGGGATCCTCCCCTGACCTTAAGGGACACTATACTCCCTGTTCTATCAGGAACTGGTCATTGCTTGTCCTTTTAAGTGTTAGTGGGCATGTTCTCGCATTCCCTATGGTCACATGCTTTGATGACAAGGAGAAAGTGAGGGCTCCAGACGGGTGATGAGGAGAACCCTCGGGCCTGTCTTCAGCCCTGCCCTCCAGGGGTCTCCAGCCCTCTCCCTTCCTCCCCTCAGGCGCTCGGTGTCTGCCGATGTCCCTAGGACTGGTGTGCGGAGAGTGGGCTGCGGTCCAAGGAACTCAGATCATAGGCTGGCAGTAACGGGTGGGTGTGCGAGCAGAGGCATTGAGGGCCTCTGTGCACACTTCTCAATGCTCCTCTGTCTTCTGAGAGCTTCCCTGCCGCAAACAGGCGAGGCTCCCCGGAGTGGGGAGGGGACCTGCATTGTCCTCCAGGGACGTCTTCCCCTTAAATCTCAAGAGAACAAATGCAGTTTCTCTCAGCGGTTGTTCCCTCTTCTTGCACTGGGTCGTTCTTACCCCTATGGATTTCCCTGCCACAGAGAAGCCTCAGAATTGAAGCTTTAAGCCGTGTCTCCTCAGAATCATGGCCCTGAAACAGAACGCTTTATTATTTAGGCCTTTCATCTCGTAGCTTCATGAACAGAATTCCTGTCTCAGATAGCTCAGCCCCAGCCAAAACTTCCCTCAGTCTCTGGTAAAGGACGGTCAGTTGACTAGCCAAAAGGTATGTTGTTA